ATTCGATATTTGGGGAAGGAGGCTTGAAATGCACCTGGCTGCATCCCACGTGAGCTGGAGGCAAACGGAACAAAGTCTGGCTTTGGAGTGCTGCATAAAAAACAGGGAAAACCTCCTATTTCGGGCAGCTCTTTCCCGCGAGGATGGAAGTGGCTGTTGGTCTGCAGGGCCCGGATCGACCACCGGTGAATTCGGTGGGTGCGGGGCAGCGCCGGGAGCAATGCTGAAGCCAGGGATCGGGTGCTGGTCCCAGCTTAGCGCCCAGCCCAGCAAGTCCAGCTGCTCTGCCCGTGCCGTATAAAGACGGTTTAATTAATCACAGATCATTTCTGCAATGTCCCCCCATTAACCTCCATAGCAGACTAAATAATAACTCATTAAAGGCATTTGAAGCTCGCAGGAACAGGACAGTTTACCAGCAAACCTGCTGCTCTTTGGCTCTAAACTGGGTTAATCTGTCATCTCTCCTTGCTGGACCAAAGGGTCCCTCGTTACACATTAAATGGCTGCTCCAGGGGACATGGCCAGCCTGGAGCTGGTCCTTCTCCTTGCTTAACACTAAGGCCACCAAAACCAGGGGACAGCATAGAGGAGAGAAGGATAAAAGCAGGTCAGCAGGCTGAGAGTGAGGAGTGCGAAGAGTTACAGGCAGGAGGACGCGTGAGCAAGTGTTCAGTCTCAGGGAGAAGAGTCGGTGAGAACCATGCCAGCTCAGCAGAAAGATGTTTGTTGTTCTAACCCTCTCGGGCTCGGTGAACATCCACCAAATCCCAGCCACAGCCCCGAGAAGACCCTGCAAAGCTCCTGACTTGTCTCATAGAGAGGCGGGAGGCTTTGGGATGGCTGGTCGTGTCTCTAGGAGAGACCCCCCCATACTAGCTCCATGCCATGCACACGGCTCGGGTGTCTCCATGGGCATCTCAGGGGTCTCTGCACACAGGATGGGGGTCCCTGGGTGGGAAGTGTGGACACCACCAGACCTTTCCCCCCTCCGGGATCACCTTTGCCGGAGGAGCAGCTCATTTACCTTTGGCCTCGTGGCCGGAGGCAGCTGCTTGTTTGTGAGCGAGGAGCTCGCTGGGCACTCGGCGTCCTGGCCGAAAGGCCCGTGCTCAGCATTTCTGGCCACAGGATTCGAAAATAAAGGTCGTCTTCTCCTCTCTGCTGAGAAACCTTTAATAAGGGGCAGAGGAACCTGGCTGCAGCCTATCGCCCCGCTGAGCCGGGGGCAGTCCAGGTCAGCGGCCGAGATTTGGGAGGTCGTTGGGTGTGCGCCAGTTTTAATTTGGGAGGCTTTTGGGGGGGATTTAGCAGGCTTGCCCTTGCCGCCGTCCCAGGGACCTGGTCACGCACGCAGAAACAAAACCCCAGCAGTGACTTTGCCTCCTTTCATAACCCAGTTCCCTGCATTTCACCACAGGCACAAAGGACACAGTGTCTCCCCCTGCATGGGGAGGGGGCTGGGGAGGGTCCCCCTGGGAACCTGGGGCCGGTCGCTCGGGCGGTGTCACCCCTAAGCATCACGCACACGCTTCCCTTCCTGCCCCAAACTGCTATCGAGGCCATCGTAGGTGCTTTCTGTAGAGTTTTAATAGGGATCTCACACAGGGAGGCATCTGCACAGCTCACGCTCCAGCCTTGTCTCCCCCCTGTTTACCAGGGCTCGGGGAGACATCACACCTTCACCAGCATCCATCCATTACAGAAACCGCTGCAGCCGGGAAGGGCCCGGTGCTGGCAGCGTGTCCGTCCCGCTGCTTTGCCCCTAGCAGCGAGTAAATTATTTTTCTTGAAAGTACGTGATCTGAGAGTAAGAGGGGAACATGGAGGGGCTGGCTGTCCCACGGGAGCCCTTGCGGCCACGCACTGGGAGAGAGGGGCTGGGCAGCCCTTCCCGGGGCTCCCACGACCCCCAGCACTTTGCTCCAGGGATGGGAAGGAAAAAGCAAAGGGGGAAAAAGGGGTAAAATGCCCTGCGCAGTGTTTCACTGCAGGAGGCGGGGTGGGAAGGCAGGCTGCCAGGGGGGCTGGCAGGGAGGCAGACCCACTTGCAGGGACCCCTCGTGCTAGGCAGGATTTTGGGCTTGACAAGCCCCACTTTACCCCCATCAAGGAGAACAGAGTCCTGGGACGGAGGAGGTGACGGCTCCTTTCGGGGTGACTCCCTTCAGCCGCAGGGTTCATCCTTAGCCCATGGGAGAGCACTGCCCAAATATTGGAGCTGCCCATGGGGCCAGGCGTGTTAGCCCCGTCGGATACACTTTGCCAGGTGAGCTGTGCGGTCCTGTCTCTGAAATTAGGACAGCTCAAAACTTCTTTTTTTTTAATACCCCTTTTTCTCCCAATTGAGCCTCTGGCATGGTCCCGTGGCTCCGGGACATGGAGCCTTAATTAAAAAAAAATAAATAAATCAGTCACTGCAGGGACCTGGGATGAGACGGTGCGGAGGCAGGAGGGGAGCCTGAGCCTGCATCCCTGTCCGTCCCCACGGAACAGCCCGTTGCTTTTCCAGGGGCACCGATGCCATCTCAGCCCCTGGACTCTCTGCTCTGGCTGGTGTCCGTTAGCCGGTCTCGGTACGCCCTCAGCTGGCCACAGAAAATGCTAGAAAAGAGAAGAAAAATATTTCATCTTGTTCTGCCATTGCATCTCACAGCACCCATGGGTGCACAGATGTCAGCCGGACCCACGGGGCATGGGAACTGGGCCCGCTCCCTGGGCAGGGGATGCTGGTACCCAGGGGATGCCCCGAAAGCATCACGGCATTTCTCTCCCTGGGCAGAGCTCTGCTCCTGGGGTGGAATTCACAAGCTTGGCGTGTCCCTGGGGGTTACAGAGCGATGCCAAACACCTAAACACACGTGCAGTGAGTCCCAGGGGATGAAACCCCTGAAAATAAAACATCCAGGCTACAGCTTGGAGCACAGTCAAGTGACGAGTGGCTGCGCTGAAGACAAACTTACTCCATCGAACTTCGAGCACGTGGTTGCTTCACCAGCAAAATTCAGCAGCGTGAGCCACAGCCCATCGCCGCAGCCGTAGGATTCGTACTTGGTACGTGCTTGATGTTGGCAACAGGTTTCCTCTTCGAGCAGATGTAGTTTCCTGGTCGAAGGGACAGGGACACCAAGACTGATTTTTGCTCCTGCTGCTCGTGGGCTGCTCCCGGGCACCAGGGGAGAGAGAAAAGGGAGTGAAAAGTGACCCAGGTCCCAGCACAAGACGGATGGACCTCTTAGAGCAGGTTCAGAGGAGGCCACAAAAGTAGTCCGAGGGCTGGAACACCTCTGCTATGGAGAGAGGCTGAGAGAGTTGGGGTTGTTCAGCCTGGAGAAGGCTCCAGCGAGACCTTATCGCAGCCTTTCAATATATAGAGGGGGCTTATAAGAAAGATGGAGAGAGACTTTTTACCAGGGCCTGTAGTGACAGGACGAGTGGCAATGGTTTTAAACTGAAAGAGGGTGGGTTTAGATTGGATGTAAGGAAGACATGTTTTACAATGAGGATGGTGAGACACTGGACCAGGTTGCCCAGAGAAGTCGTGGATGTCCCATCCCTGGAAGTGTTCAAGGTCAGGTTGGAGGGGGCTTTGAGCAATCTGATGTAGTGGAAGATGTCCCTGCCCACGGCAGGGGGTTGGACTAGATGATCTTTGAAGGTCTCTTCCAACCCACACCATGCTATGAATCAAATCCAGTGTTTCATTAATGATTTCATTAACATTGTGTGCAGCAGGACATAAGCACCTCGCTATTTAAAGTCAGCATTCCCTGCCTATATATACTCTCTTGGGGGAAAGATTTGGGTTGGAGAAGTGTCTGGTTTCAAGTGGCACCTCTGTGATACCACAACCCCTCACGCAGATGCTCCAAGACGACACACAGAGTTGCTGATACAATCCCAGCCACTGGAGGGTGGTCAGACCTCAACCAAGTACGCACAGTCCAAAAATAAACCTTTCCCTTGGGCATCCCAGCTTCTAATGTGTCTTATCCCGAAGAGCCCATCTGCATCTCCCACCCAGCTAGTACCAAGTGGTCCCCGTGCCCAGGGCAGCCCTGTCCCCCATTACCATCCCAGCTCTTTGTGCAATTTGGGGGTTCCTTGAGCTTTTCTCGGGGGGCTTACCTACCTTCAGCCCAGCCCCTGACAGCCCATGGCCCAAGACCCTGTAAGGGAAGGATTTGGGAGCCCCAGCTCTGAGCACTGGGGTTATTTTTTGCAGAAAGCCAGATCCCAAAAGAGGATTTCTGCCCAAGAGGGGATGGGACAAGCTCATATGGATACAAGGTGAAGAGATGGGGGATTTTTTTTAGCAGCAGCAGCAGGTCTGTCCAGGTTTCACAGACCACGTTCAACACCATCAGGTATCAACCTCCAGAGACACAACCCCATTGCCAGTGTAGTGAGCAGCAGAGGGGGCTTGGCTAATAATGAGTTTCACAGGCATAGAGGGAAGATGAAACCAAGCAGCAGTCTAGCTAGAGAGAAGGGGTTTTTTTTGAGCTTGACAGGATTAAGTTAACACAGAGTTAATGAAATGGCTCAGAGATGGAAGAACAGGACTCCCGGAGGGCATGTGTGGTGCCTTGTTGGATGAAGACAGTGCTTAACCCAGGCTCTCTCCTCCCACCCTCCCAAAAATTTCTCCACTTTTAAAGATGCAGCAGGAGACCCAGGCCAGATGTGAAACTTTTAATGACTGTAGATCCACGTGGACAAAATTTGAAATAGGGGGTTGAGATAGAGGACAGCAGGAAGGCCGGTGTCACTGAGCGCAGAGAGATACTGGGCATTTCCACGGCATGCAGGGGATGCCACCGCACTTCAGAGAAGCTCTCCTGCATCAACACACGCTGCACATCAGCTGCTTTCTAGAAGGGCAAGTCTATAAGGGCCTGTGCCTCCTGGGACTTGACGAAAAACTGAGGGTAAACACCCACAAATAATTAAAAGAACAACCCAGGAGGGGCTGAAGCCCCAGATCCAGGCTTGGGCCCAGAACCTGCAAACAGGAGCATGGCATGAACTCAGGGCTGTGTCTCAGATGTGCTCTAAACCGCGCTGCACTTGTGCACGGGTTTATGTAAGCTGGTGACCCCAGCCAGGCACCCAAATATTCACATCTCCTCCATGGCCAGCCCCCCCTCCTGGTGATTTATTGCCTTTGTGCCAAAAACATAGGAACAGGCTTTGCTCAATGTCTTAATACACAAATCCTGCAGAGATGATCCCAGAACTGCAGGAAAGTCTGGACAAGCCATTGGTGACACAGGGGACGGAGAGTCAGGTCTCTGGGGTGACAGCCACCTCCTCCAGCCCCGGGAATGGCTCTTTTGCCCTCTGGTGACTTGCTCAGGTGCTGAGCACACAGCTCCTGCAGGGCAAAGGGGACAGACACGGGGATGCTCAGCTCTAACCCTACTGTTGGCTTCTTCGAGACCTTCTGGGGTGGCTTTCTGACCTAGCCTCACGTGCCCTGGTACCCCCTTGGCTCGCACACACGCCTGCACAGGAGAGCTTTAAGAATTCCGTGCCCATTTTCTTGGAAAAGCCACCTCTGCTCCCCCATCCCCAGCAGCTGAGAAATCTCCACTCGTGCCGGCAGGTGCCCAGGAGGGCTCAACGGCTACAGCGCAGCAAAGCAGTAACTTCCCCCCATCCCCATCGGGGCACCAGGAGCATTGATAAAGCACCCGGAGGTCTTCTCTTGAAAGCTGCACAGCACCCCAGGACTCAAAGAAGGTCACCAAACACGCCGGAGGCACCCAAGACGCAGCTCAGCAGAAAGCAAAACAGGAAGGTGAGAGTAACTCAGATGTCGTAGAAATCCACGTGGGCACCGGAGCGGAAGGTGTCCTCCTCCAGGAGATTCACCAGCTTCTGGGCCGACACGGTGCAGTCTATCAGCTGCCCGCTCTCCTGCAGGCTTTGGAAATACTGACGCATCTCAGAGTCTCCGGTCTTAGTCCGGGCCAAGAGCTGCATGTCCGTGTCCAGAGGCCCTGGGGAAAGAGCAAGAGAAAAAAAAAGAAAATCACGTAAGGAGAAAGCAAAATCTGGGGCTCATTTTCCCTCTTACCTGGCTCGGCTGCAAGAATCTTTTATCCACAAAGCCAGGAGAAAATTAATAGCAATTAATGAGCTTCCCTCCTCACCTGGAGCATAGTTGAGCACACGGACATCAGGCTCCTCGAGCGCCAGCACCTGGAACATCATGTCCCGGGAAGCCTTCCCGCTGCAGTACAGCGCCCAGTTCTTGAAGGGCTTCACGGCACAGAGCGAGGAGATGTTCACCACCGTCCTGCTCGAGCCAGGCCGCTTTCCGAAGGCTTGCAGGGCGGTGGAGGTGAGGCAAAGCGCCGAGGTGACGTTGAAGGCAAAGTAGCTGTTGATCTCATCTGGGTCGGTGAGCTCGAGGAAGGATTTGGAGATGTCTCCCAGGGAGCCTAGGAAGGAAGGACACATGATTTAAGAGTAGTTAAAGATGGGTTCAACAGCGCAGCAGATCCCTTTTGCTCCTACATTTCCACAACCAACACTATTACAGACAAAACCGAGCAGCTTTGCTGGCCCAACCTCTAGCAGGGTCTCACAGCAGAGCGAGGAGCTCAGCACGGCCCAGCTCTGCTCATCGCTTTCGGGCCGCTCGCTGAACCAACAGCGGTGACACGGGACACGGACCTGCCCTGCCAATCCTCTGCCGAAACACACGGCTCCCAACCTCCAGCCTGAAGCACAACGTCCCCACGGGCCACCACGCGCTCTCCCGCATGTCCCTCTTTCGGAACCAAGTCAGTAAGAGACCTATTACCTACTGGAACACATGGTCTTATTTACAGCGATAACGGGTGGAAAAAAGGCACTGAAGCCAACAGACATTAAAGATTGCAAGCGAAGCCCCCACAGGCAGGGCTAGAAGTTTCTCTGAAGGAAGGCAGGAGGGTGCAGGAGGGCAGCCAGCTGCCCCGTGCCACGAGTAACAGGCACAAGTCGGGATAAAACCTTGGGAGCGGCAAAGCACCGCCGTTCCGCACCACGTCCCGGCAGCGAACCGCTCCTGGGCTGCCCTCCAAAGTCATTAGCTTAATGAGATCCGGACAGGGCAAAATCCCTGCTGCTCCGTTGGGTTATTTACCGGCACCCAAAGCACCGATCAAGC